CACAGTAAAGACGTTTTTCCTCATGTTCATAAGGAACTTTCTGTATTGCAGTTTATGCCCACTGCCTCATCCTGTTGCTGGGCACCACCAAAGAGCCCAGCCCCATCCACCCAACAGACACTGCTGAGTACTGATCAGGTCTCTCCTCATCCTTTTCTCCATGCTGAACAGCCCCAGGTCTCTCAGCCTTTCCTCATAACGCAGATGCTCCAAGCCCCCATCATCCTTGTGGCCCTCCACCTGTGGGGACCCACTTTCCAGATCTGCCCCACGATGTGATGCGATGCCTTGCAATGTGATCTCTCACTCAAACAACATTACAAGGCTACGTGCACTGCCTTGTGGGTCTGCTTCACAGCTGCACGGGTCAGGAGTCACACACGGTGCTCCTCTGCTCGAGCAGCTCTGAACACTCACCAACACCAGACACTGCTTTTTTAAGCTCGCTGCCCAGAACCCGAATTACAAATGAGTTATTTGGCATGAATTTCCCTCAAACTCCGAGGATACGGTCACAAAGAGCACTCTACATTTCATAGAAAGAAACAACACAACTCCAGCCGCCACCATTCCCCAAGGTCAGCGCTATCGGCTTCGTGCAGCATCGGGCACCCACAGCCGCATCCACACCGATCTGCGCTGCCTACACCTGCCCTGCCCAAAGCTGCGCACACCGCTGCCCCGCAGCCCGGCCGGGCCCTCAGGCTGAGCTGAGCTGAGCTGCGGCCGCCGTGCCGTGGCCGCCGCCCGCAGGTACCGCCGCGCCGGGGAGCGGCTGCCCGCGGCCCTGAGACGCCCGGGGCCCTACCTCCTCCCGCAGGGCCCGCTCCTGGTCCACCTCCCGCTGCAGCCTGCCCGCCCGCTCCTCCGCGGCGTCCGCCTGCTCCTGCAGGCTGCGGATCTTCCTCCGCACGGCCTCGAGCGAGCTCATCGCCGCCATGCCCTCGCCGTCCGATCGGCTCCGACCCGCTCCGCGCCTCGCCGCCGGCCTGCACCGCCTCCCTCCCTCCGCCCCGGCCCCGGAAGTCCTCCGCGCCGCGCCGCGCACCGGGGCGGGGCCGGCGACACCGAGCCGGAGGGGAGCGGCGCAGGGAGGCGGCGGGGCAGCGCGCCGGTCCGCGCCGGGGTGGGGCGGGCGCCGGGCGAGGCCGGGCCGGCGGGGAGAGGCTCGGCGGCGGGGCCGGGCAGCCAGGTGGGCGCGGGGGCTGTAGCGCCCTCTGGCGGCCGCCCCGCTCCCCGCCGTAGCCCCGCGTCGCACCGGCCGAGCGGCGTAAAGCGATGCCGAGCGGCCGGCCGGCCTCCGTCCTTCGCCCGAACGGGCTCCCGGGACGTGGGGAGCGGGGCTGAACACGGGGCGGAAGGAGGTGCCCCACGCTGCCGAGGTGAGTCGGGAGGTGCTGCTCCCTCATCTCGTGCGAGGTTGCTCCACCTCGGCAGCGGCGCTCCCTGCCCTGCTCTGCCCTTTTCCTGGGGCTCGGAACTATCCGAACGAGTCGTGCAAACGCTGGGTCACAGCAGTGCCCCAAGACACTCCACGTGGCCCAAAAGCACGGCATCCTGACATTCCACGCACACCAGTAAGTACAGCCTTCTCTCCAGCCAGGCTCTCTGCCCCAGGGTGACTGCGCCCAACACCCGTCCCAACGAGCTCCCAAACGCTGCTCTCCAGCAAAGGGAAACGGCGCTGGGATTGGTCAGGGGCATCGTGCTTTTCAGGCAGGGAATCTGGTAGCACTGCTCTCGCCTTCATCCCCGGCGATTCCCAAATAGTCTGCATACTTTTCCTTATAAGGAATATCTCCCCTGGATCTGTATGCGGTTCCTTTGAACGAGTCCAATAAGGGCCCTGCTAGGAAGTGCCTCTCCTCAGTGCGGCCTCGCTCAGAAGACAGACATCTGATCCACATTACACACAGAACCCCTCTCATCCCTATGTGCACTTATTACTGAGGTCTCTCTCAAAACTACACAACTTAATTGCTTTGCTTTATGGTTTGCTCTTTCAAAAAGTAAAATAAGATAAAAGCGTGTTGTCTTTGATGCCAAGTTGGCTTTAGCAACGTTTCCCTCTCTAAAAGTATCCTTCCTCCACTTTGCTCTGTGACAACTCCTTAGCTTTGAGGCTGATTCTGAAAGCTGCGCTATAGGAAAAGGATGGTCATGGCTTTGGAAGCGCTGTGGTTTCACCAGGTCCTGTAATTCAGACCCGAGATGTATTTGGAGAGAACTGGGTTGGACTGTAGGAGCCACACCGCAGGCAGAGCCCACACTGCTCTGGGCCTTATCTGCAGGAACAGGAAACTCGCATCGCTCCATGCGTGTAATGCATTAATTAGATGCATGTCAGGAGCGGACAGGTGGGTGGGTTGAGGCCTGGGAGGGACACAGGCTCTTGCACTATTACCATATAAAGTGCTGAGCTATATATATCCTCCAGCCTGCTCCCAAGATCCCTGTCCTCCAAACTGCAAACCTAGCAAGTATCATCTTCCAATTTCCTCTCACGCAGGACTGAACTTTTCTTTGAGATGTGAAATCATCTTCGATTTTTCCAAGAATAAAAACTAGGAGCAGGGACTTTATCTGTGGGATGAGTGAATGAGCCCAACTAGTTTCTAGCAGCAGCACTAATGCATGTATGCCTACAACTCTCCTGCAGAAACAACCAGCAGCCCTTATTCTGCATCTGTGGGACGTACAGGATGTCCCAGCTGTCCCTCCCAGGCCTAGTTGCTGTCAGCTCTCTGATTCAGTCTCATCGACTATCACAGCACTACTGTTCCTACCCAAGCTACTTTTTCCATCATCTCAATTGACAATCCACAGCAAATGGAACAACAGCAAGTACACACAAAAAGCACGTGTTGAGTGAGCAGAAACCCAATCAATGCCTCGGACAATGTGCAAATCTCATGCAAGGAGGCAGTGCTGTGTCTCCCACCTCCCTGCCCAGGAGGTGCCCAGGAGGAGCCTGAGCCCAGCATGGCCACAGAGCGCTGCCTGGTGGGAGTCCTGGCTGTCCTGTGCAGTGGAGGTGTGTGTTCCTTGTATGAAGGGGGTGGTGGAAGGGACAGGGGTAACTTACATCTGTGGCCTTTTTGTCAGCCAGTTCCAACTTTTCCTGTGCATCTTTAAGGGACTCGGAGTATTTGTCCAGCTCATCCTCAGTGCCCTTCAGCTTCTTTTGCAGAGCCACCAGCTCGTCCTCCAGCTGTGACACGGGCGGAAGGTGGTGGAGAGGGGAGGGCAGGCAGGAAAAGGTGCAGCAGGCAATGTGATCGTGCAAAGGGACAAGTGCGAGTGCAGAAGAGACAGAAAAGGACAGACAGACAGACAGACAGAGAGAGAAAGAAGGAGAGACAGTTAGATTCTCTGTTGCTACGGTAAGGGCACGATACCTTGGCAGCATTCTCCTCTGCGGAGAGGAGGCTGTCCTCAGACTTGTGCAGCTCTTCCAGCACTTGGTCTCTCGAATCCTCCGTCACACGCAATTGCTTTTCCAATTGCACAATGTCATCCTCTAACTAGGTGCACAAGAGGAAATACAATGCACAGATACATTTCTCCCTGGGCTCTGAAAAGGGGGAAGGTCATCTTTAAATCTCTCTCCTTGCCTCTGGCCTTTTCTGGGATCTCCAAGAAACTCACAACAACCATGCCTCCAACCCCCAAACTAACAAAACCCCACGTGTGCTGGGGTGGATCAGGGGGGAGGCTTGGAGCAGGCCAGGAAAATGGGACACATATCTGGAAAGAGGGGGAGCAGCTAGAACCGGACAAGTCTGCTGGATAGCGCTGGGGGAGGGGGGCACAAACTCAGCTTTAAGTCCTTTGCCAAATCATAGCGCGTCTATCCAGAGCTAACAGCTGCTCCAGGCAGTGTCCCCCAGCCATGCCCCTGTGACAAAGGCACGGAGGCCACGCAGCTGTCCCAGGACCCCTCCCCAGCAGGATGGAGCAGTGGTCTCCTGCCCGGCCCAGGGAGCCTCCAGCCACGTTCTTTAGGGGAGTTTCAGTACTTCAGTCGGTTCTTCGGGCAATGGAGGGGGAGGTGGGGAAGGATACAATAAGGTACGTTAAAAAAAGGTTAGAGAAAGCGATCGCCTGGAAAGGCATGTGCCCCGGCACCAGTAACACCCGGTCTCTCGGTGCAGACCTGCTTGCTCCTCTCCTCCGCTGCCTTCTTGTCTGCTTCGGCTTGCTCGGCTCTGTCCAAGGCATTCTCCTTGTCCAGTTTCAGCATCTGCATCTTTTTCTTGATGGCATCCATGGCGGCGGTGGGTTAAGGCGCGTCCCGCGCGAACTACAGCCGAAATCAGAGCAGGGAAAGCGGCGGGAGAGCCCCGATACGAATCCGAGCCGCGGCCCCGGGGAGCGCTGGGGCCAACGAGTGCGGGACGGGCGCCGGCGGAGTGCGGGCGGCGGGCGGGGAGCGCCTCACTGATATGGCCTTTCCCAGGGGGCTGACTGCATTCCTCAGGACATCCAATACTTTTTTGGAAAGGGCTTTTTTTTTTTCTTCTTTTTTTCCCCTCCCTCCTCCATTTGTCCCTACCCCTTTCCCTCGCTTCGCTCGCCCTCGGCTTTTTTCGGCGGCTCGGCTCTCCCATTCGCTGCCGCCCGCCTTTTGACCGTGGATATGCCTATATATGGGATGTGACGGGCGAGGTAAGGCGGGGGAGAGGTTCGTTCCTAGTTCTAAGCGGGCAAGACGGGGCATTTCGCTGCTACTCCTAGGACGAAAAAATAAATAAAAAAAGGGGGAAGGGCAGAGACTCGGGGCGGGGAACGGGAGCAGAGAGCCGTGCGGGCCGCTCAGGGCGGTTGTGATGCCAGGGTGGCTGGCAGCAGGACCGTGCCGGAGCCGCCCCCACCCGTGGAAATGGTTGTTTAAAAGCAGAAGGGGCGCGGGGCAACAACGGGTCACGGGCAAGCGCGCTCCGCGTCCTTCACCGGGCCTCGGGGCACGGGAGGACAGGCCGGCGGGCGGAGAGCTGCCGGCAGCCCGGGCACCAGGACCGCCGCGGTAATGCCAGCCCGGCACAAAGGCACGGCACGGCTCTCTGAGGCCGCAAGAGCTTCCCGGGCCGACCACGCTTCTCTACTGGACCGCAGTCGGGTTAAAGGGAGGGGAGCGGGGGCTCAGCTGCCCCCGGAGCCGCGAGGTGCGGAGCCCGGGGAGAGTCGGCACACGGACCGGCTGCTGCCGTGCCTCGCACCCTCCGCCTGCGACGCCAGCGAGAAACTGAGGCAGCGAAGAAAGACGAGCAATCTGGAGAACAATTAACAAACCACGTAATTAAGTAGAAACCGATTTTCGCTTGTGGCTGATGTCTGTCTCCTTAGCACGCCGAGCAAGATGCAACACGCTCCGCCGGCACCACGCACGCTCCTTTACACAGCGCAGGAAGCACACGGACGTGCACGAGCCCCGAGGATTTGGTTGCACAAAGAGAAAATTAAGCAGCCTCTTTGTCTGAGCTCACGACTTGCACCAGAAAATTCCTCCCTGGTGCCGTCATCGGCTCTGCTGAGCCGATGTCACCGCGGCAGGAGGGCTTGTGGCTTGCTGGACTTGCAGGGCAAATAGGGGCAGCGGTCGGCAAAGCTGGCCGTGGGGCGGCTCCTGCACAGCCCACGGAGTTACAGCGCAGAGCTCCGGCTCCGTGCGACCAGATAGCAAAGCCCTCTGGGTTGTGAGCACAGGTCATCTTCCTCTGCCCCCGAGAACGGCCTGCGGCACTGACCCACACAGCGTTCACGCGAGCTTACAGCCCGTCTCCAGGACGTGTGTGATGTTAATGCCGCTGGCAGAAGAGAAGCTTTCCTATTCCCACTCCTAAGATGGTTTCTTACTGTATTCCCTAAAAAACAGACTCCTCAGAGTAATAGTAAAGTAACAGTAATGATGTAAAAATAGCAAGATCTTTCTGGAGGTTGAAATTCCCACTTTTCTGCACAATCCTTATTCATTAGTCCTTACTGGTTTAAAAAAAAATACTGGTTAAACCTGCCTACATACAAACAGCAGCACACAGGCTGTAAGTGTAAAGAGTAAAAAAGAGTAAATGTAAGAGCAAAAATGCCAAAGTACTGACAAAGCCTGCAGACTTATTTGCAGCAAATGCTTAAGCATAGTTTTGCTCTTGTCGCTTATCTTGCTGTTACTGTATGGCTGGTTGCAACACAAGGGCCTTTTTAAGTGCTTTGAATATTTAAAAGGCATTTAGTTACATACTAAATTAGATACATACTAAATTAGTTACAATACAATCAACAACTTGATTGTATTGTTAAATACATCAATGTTTTGTCCGGAGTTGAGGAGAACTTACTCCACCGCCACAAAAAAATCCCTTTAGAAGTGCATTGTGGCTGGGAATCCAGTGAGGCAGCCCTTTGCCTTTGGGTAAGCACATGTTGTGAAATTAAACAAACAGTGTCCTGTCTGGCTCATTTGGGAGTGGTGCTGATAGGCTCTTAAAGAATTCCTGTGCAGAGCTATTTTTCTACAAGAATGTTAACGATGACATGGGAACCTCTGGGATACATGAGAAAATATGATATGGGGAAGAGGAAAGAAGATAGAAAATGATATGGCCTGGAAGATGCCACCACCACAACAGCAGAACCAAATCCTGAGGCCCCATATGCATGAAAATGTCCAAAAATAGGCTTGGTTTAAGTCTAAGACAACTCTGCATCCACAGGGCTAAATTGGCTGACGTTTTTGTTGTTGTTTTTCTGTGGTAGAGAATGCAAAAAGTATAGATATATGTAAGCGTGCCTGCTTTACCTTAATTAACAATTTGAATTGCTTGGAAATTTCCAGCTGGCAAAAAAAGATAGGTTTGGAAATCAAGTAGCTTGTATAGTCACTCCCTTTTTAATTGGGACGTGAAGAAAGACTGTATACAAATTAATTTCGTACACTGAAAAAAGAAGGCAGCACAAACCTTGTGTCTCTGACAAAACATTACTTCCCCCACGGCCACCCCACCACTGCTGGAGCTGGCTCATCTCTTGTTGACAAGTGGTGCACAAACACCCCAGCAGCAGTTTTACTCAGTTCTGCACCTCCTACACTGGTTTTGAGTTCTGTTTTTTAAATCAGGCTCTTCTGAACACCAAGGCAGCCAACACAAAGAACTGGCAAAACATATACGTAAGCCATATAGGCATACATCCATATACATACACTATATGTAAGTAAGTGATGTGGCACTTCAGGCTTCCCAACAATATTTTGTTTTCCAGGATGAGGCCAGAATCTGCTTCTATCACGATGTTCCTGCCATGCCATAGATGTCTTGACACAGGCAGAATTTGCCTTGAGAAGAATCTGCTTTTCTGTCCACAGTTGGACCAGCTGAAGGCATTTCTCAACAGAGATGCTGATGGTGTACGGATGGCAGGTGGACTCACTTGGAAAGATCCTTCAAACAGACTCTTTCTAAAAAATTGGAGTTGCCTCTTTTTTTCTTTTTCCTTTTCTTTTTTTTTTTTTTTTTTGGAATATGCAGGAAGTGACACCTGACTTCATGCTGCAACTGGTCCTTCCAGTTCTGTGAAAACATGACTCTTAAAAGATGATGAAGGATTCGAATTAGGTCAGTCAGAATGAACCCAAAAGACTACACGTGTCAGGAGAGTGTTCCCCCAGAGGGAGACAAATGTAAATAAAGTACAAACATTTTGAAAAAGTTTCCGAGCCCTTTGCAGCCTTTCTAAAAATGGAAGGTTTATTTTGGATGAAGGGAGAAAGAGGACTTGGCTTATCAGTAAAAAATGGGAAATAGGAAACATCTGTATTTACCTGGAAAATAAATTAAAAAATGGTGCTCGATCAATAAGTAGGTTTTACTACCACAAGTAGTATATATTTAATCCTGTAAGGATCTCAAAGAACTTTGCAGTTCTTTGCACAAAGGGAGCTGAGGGACAATATTCCTACAAGTGTAGAAATGGCAAAACTTCCCTTGGAGAAACTGGTCATATATACTTAGCCATGAGGCAACAGAAAGGCTTAAAATAGAATGGAGGAATCCTGCTGGTCAGTGCTCTGCAGCTCCCAGTGGGCAGCAAAGGGGTACAGAAATACCCCTGAACATGCCACTCACACTTGAGAAATGACGCTGTATCCTTCTGAAGGCTCTCCTTAGTATTTCTGAGGTAACTGTGAAGAGCGCTGCGGCTTTGGAAAGTAAAGAACCGGGAGATGATCAGTTGGAAAATAAATCTCTGAATTCTTCTAAAATCCTTTTGATACTCTTCCCATTCAGAACTAACGTGTTTCTGTTCCGTCTGTCACTCAGCGAGGCAACTCCATGAAATCTGTGAACTCCTTAAGGGTAAAAGTATTTATAGCACGGCCCTCTGCACCTGCCCTGATCTGTAATGCAAGGGTCTATTCAGATGCCACTGCAAATGCTAAGGAGCTCATGACCTAACTCATGACCTAAGGGTCCTAAAATATCTCTGAGGTCTTTTTCTGCACAGCTCCTTTCACTCTAATTCCCTTTCAGCTGAGCAAATTTGAGTCTCCCAGTATTTTGCACTGTTTTTTATTTTGAATTGGGAAGTTTGCTTTAACTGATAGCTACCAAAACTACCTTAATTTTCTGGAAGTAATAAACAAGAATCAAGTAACACAGACAAAAACAAACACAACAACAAAACAAGGAAACAAAGAACCAAAAAAACCAACCACTTTTGTTAAGATGTTTTCCCACTCCCTTCTTTTTAGAGGTTCAGATAGTTTTAGGCTAGATAAAGAAAAGCAGTTTCTTTCAAACTGCTTCTACTTACACATTGCTGTGCTTGTGCTCCGCTCCGTTAAGTCTCTACGGAAGTCACTTAATTGAGTTCAATTACATTCATCTGGTTCTTAACAAAAATAGTCTTGCAAAAAACATCCTATCCGTTTCAATTTAAAGCACGCTAGTGTGGAAGAGAAAAGAATGCTAAGGAGGAAGGTCACAGTAAAGAGCAAGTCGTATGTTATGGGGGGAGGAATTGTATCTGGCTGTGCCAAAATGCTCAGCCGAAAAGAAGTGTGGATCAGCAGATCCAAAAGGAAGTAATTTGCTCCTGGTGAAAGGGCCCACTCATAACTTTGTGTGGACACAGACATGGCACTAAATACAGTGGATTTCCTTCTGAATTGCACTGTATCAAATGATATCAGACTCAATTCTGCTGAATGCAAGGTGAGAAAAAAGTTGTTGAAATATCCACTGTCCTGGACAGTGCCTTCAATAAATGTAACTCCATCCCTGTTAAGCAGCCCATCTGCCAGAGCTCTGAGCTATATATAGATAAATACACCATTGCTGTAGCATCTACTGCCACATCTATGTGATTACAGAATCATAGAATTACTCAGGTTGGAAGGGACCTCAAGGATCATTATAAGTTGTACCGGAGTATAGCTTTGCAGTTTTGTTGGAGATTCTCTTCTGGCAGAACAGTTACCCTACAGATCCTTAAAAGATTTGTGTTCCCGACCTGCAGGAACATATGATAATAGTAAATAGTGGAGGAGAGCAGGAATGGAAGAAATAGCCAAGACACCCAATGATTTTTCTGACATCCACCCTTTGATACCAATAGTACAAAAGGACATATTACAGCCACAGCAGGGCCGACAGCTACTTCCCTTGTCTTGGCCACAACTGAGAACACTAGAAGACTTTTAAGAATTTCCTCAAATCAGATATCTAAGTTCATAGCAGGTGCAAGCATGACAAGAAAAAGCAGCTCTTCTAAGTGTATCGGCAGAAGCTTCTAGGCTGTACATGTGAATGCTCATCTTCAGCCATGTTGCTTGTTGCTTTTTGTTTTATGGAGGCTCTCAAACTGTCATACAACAACAATCAGATGGAACGTAGACAGCATGAAGGAAAATACATCCACATTCATGCAGCCCAAATTCCAGCTACCTGCCCATGACTGACAACCTTGGAAGGTAGAAAGGAGTTTTCAGAGATTCTGAGCCAAGCGGAAATACTGGCATAGGTTTCCCATCTGGCTCTGGGAATCTGATATCACAGCACTTGATCATCAACATTTACTCAATTTCGATTGGATTGGATGTATCATTCAAGAAAATAAGTCATTAAATTGCCAAAATGCATTATATGAGCCCAAAAGGTAAAAAAGATTACTTCTGAAAGACAGTAAACTTCCTGATTTGAACTGAATATTCACCTTTCTGGTGGTAAGAGCCTGAGAACCAAATAAGTACACCTTTAAATAACGTTATTCTTTTTTTGCCAACAGCTGGCCTACCAGCTCTGCCCCAAGTTTTTCATTGCTCTACAAGACTACACACATAGGAGAAAAAAAAAGATCAAAAGCATTTGCAGTCTAATATTCCCAATTCCAGGATGTTTTTAGAGCAAATATAAGCAAATTGCTTACTTGAGCCTTCAGCTCCCTGTAGGCACTTGGCAGAGCCAGTGAAAGTAAAGGTAGTGATGTTGTGACATGGTCTCCTGCCCACTTTCCAGATGGCAATCAGCTAATTTTAACAGCAATGCTCAGCCAAACCTAGTAGGGACCAGCTGGTATTGAGGCTATTTACCTAGTTTCTCATCCCTGTTGTCATTCTGTTCCTTCATGCATTTAAAGACTTAATTTAAAAATTTCTACTGTAATGTAGAGGTTTCTTTTTTCCTTTTTCTTTCTTTTTCTTTTTTTTTTTTTTAAATAAAGAGAGGAAAGACTGTGAAGAAAGATGCATTCAGCATTATTTTATAAGCAATCATTCATCATGTTGCAGTAGAAATAGTGTTTTATCCTCTTCACTTTAGGCCTTGTGTTTGAACAGCCTGAAACCTGCTGACACAGCAAAGGAGCTGTGAAATTGTTTAGTCTCAGTTCAGGTAATTGTGTGCAGCTCAGGTACCAGTGCACCTCTGTCCTTCCAACACATATCTGTGTGTATCCCACAATCCCAGCTTGTTCTTTCCCGTCCTCCCTGAGAGCAAATATGCATTTCATATCACTCAGATCTTTGATCTGGCGACTTGACGTGTTATTATTTAAACATGACAGATGATATTCAGTAATAATAAACATAGAAAAGTCAGTCCACTGGAAAAACAAATACATATTAATCTGACCTCTCATTAGTTCCTTATCCTTTTTATCTCTGAAACCTTTCACTAATTCCTGGCAGTTAATGCTCTTCTGGTTAAAGCACTTGATGTCCTCATTAGTCTTCATGCTGCTTTTTTCTAAGGAAAGCTGTTTGGGCAGAACTCATGGGTCCGTATAATTTACATTTACAGATTTGCCTCCCTCCACGAAATGAAAAAAATGGACTAAAGTCACTTTCTTGGAATTATTTCTGATTTGATGTTGAATGTTTCCCCAAACTCAGAGGACATACTTTAATGCCACAGTGTAAGACTAAAATTATCAGATCTAAAGGGAAATTGTGAAATAAGTTGTTGAATTCCACCAAGAATAATCTATTTCTTTAGAAAAAAACTATCTTTCCATGACTTAATTAAAGTCAGCTTACACACCACGATGCCAAAGTGAAGAACTTTTCATTTGCTTGGGAAAGCTATATGAGAATGCTGGGTACAAGACTGCCATAGAAATGCTGTAACAGCAGAGATCAGCATCTGCAGGCCCTTTGTAAAAGTACTGTAATAGTTCAGTACATCACAACACGCTTGTTTCAGCATTCAGACAACAGTTTCAAGCATTAAGATCACTGCAGGTTGTTTGGACTTACAGCTTCTTTTCATTATGAAGGTAATATGGGCCTTACATTTCAAATTTACAGATCAATTTTAGGGAGCATTGTTTTGAAATATGTCTAAGACCTCGTGGTGTTCTTTGATTGCCATACTTCTCTCAGCTGATCACTGGTGCTGTAACAACGCCTATCAAAACAACAGCAGCTTACAGGTGCCAACAATAAAAATGTTTGAAGAGGTAATCCTCTGCACGTCAACATGCTTAACATCCATTTCAACCATCCCATGGCCTGTATGAATTGTTAATCAAGTAGAATTGAAAACTGGCACGCAGATGGCATAACTGTTACAGCTGGATAGCAGGCAAAGGGCCAGCCAGAAGCTACAGTTTCATTAGAAGCTATTTTAACATCCACGGGTCTAGGGGGACAATAGGCTTAGCAAACAATTGGACTTGCACTATTGCAGCTCTCTGCCAGAGTGATTCTTGACAGTTCGCGGCTGAAGTTAACAAGCTCAGAATCATCTGCACACTATTCCTCTGCAGCCAACAGCAGGCTTAACCAGAGACAGAATTCCCCAGTGGCTTTTTTTGCAAAAACTTTCCTTTGTTGATTACAGTTTCTCTTCAGCTGTTTATGAGAAGGAACAACGGTTTCTAACAGAGGCTGCACAACTAGCAGCATATTGAACACAAATCCATAGGAAGTTGAAGACTGCTCACAGATTTTCTTCTCTAGCATGCAGCTGTACAGCAGTGACTTCAAAAACACACAACTACCAAGCGCTAGGCAGATTCAGATGTTCTGGACCGATTGATCTGAGCTACAGAGATGAGTAGGACAGCACATTCTGCTGCATTTGGTCAGACAGAACAGGGTTCTGCACACCATCACCTATTAATTCCAGACACCTTGCTGCAAGCTGATAACCGCTACAAAGCTAGGATATGTAAAACAGAAGCAGTTCTTGTGTTCCTTACAGGCTGC